ATCCGAAAAGAGCTTTTCTGTAGTAATAACGTTATTAATAATGTTTTGTCAGAAATGTCAAATATTAAAAGTTTTTTATTTAACTTTAATGATTAACTTTAATTCTAATTAAGTTACAATCAAAGTCGCTGTAAAAAAAAAGACGGAGCAATACTATATAACTACACTGATGATGGCAGTTGTTATCGAAAAGACCTTTTCTGTAGTAATAACGTTATTAATAATGTTTTGTCAAAAATGTCAAATATTAAAAGTTTTTTATTTAACCTTAATAAACTTCATCAAGATGACAGAAGTCTCGTTAGAAAAATTGAGAAACTCAACTACAAGTTGATTAATGCCAAAAACGCAGTAATCTTTATTAATAATTGTATTTATGATTTTCTAAACCCAAAATTAGTATTATATATATATATATATATATATGCAGTAATTTATGGTTTTTTACCAGTATATATATATATATATATATATATATATATATATATATATATATATAAATATTTAGGAACGAGGTTTTCATTAATACATATTTTGTAACGAGGTTTTCATTAATACATATTTTGTTAAATTTATTTGCCAATTTTGCATTTATCAACTTTTTTATTATGGACTCAACACAGCGTAGTTTTTGACATTCATATTTATTGTGAAATTGTGACATATTAGAAGCAATCAAGCAGTTTCGACCACATCCTACAACTATTTTCTCAATACCGGGATCAGGCTCTACTGTGTAACGTTGTACGTGAGCAACCGTACTTGCCTGTATCACCACGATATGAATATCATTCGCAGGCAGACAGCTTTCTACCGGTCAATACACAATTTATAAGTGTACGTCGGAAATCTACTACACTTACATCTTTAACTACTCTATTACAGTCTTAATTAAATTCAATTCCCATTACACAATTCATAGTACATTTATCGTATTTCATTTTATTTACTAACTTATTTATTTTAGTTTATTTTATTCCTACATACATTTTATAACCACATAATCTTAGTTATGCATTTAATTTGTGTAGAATATACTTAGCGTTCCATAATATTTTATACTAGTGATTACACCACATTCATCGCACACGTATTGTTTATTTCCTATTCTTCCAACTTTCCAGTTTTATTTTCATTTATTTTACCTTTTATTAATTAGTAACTTTTATTTAATTTCATGTTTTAGTATTAAATTTATCTTTTAGGTTACATCCTTCGCAAGGTACCATTTTAACTTCACTTTCAATTCCAATTTTATTTTTAATATCTTATCTATCATGTCCGCTAAATAATTTACATAATTCGTTTAATTCTCATTTATTTTAATTAAATTTCTTATATTTCATTGGTTTTAGGCTCTGATGATGGCTACTTAGCCGAAACAACGTTGTCAGCTTCTAATATGTCACAATTTCACAATAAATATGAATGTCAAAAACTATGCTGTGTTGAGTCCATAATAAAAAAGTTGATAAATGCAAAATGGGCAAATAAATTTAACAATATATATATATATATATATATATATACAATATTCTATAAATTCAATATTCTATAAATTCTACCGAATGTTTGGCGTTAACATGTTTGTAGTTCATTTTTTCGATTTTTCTTACTAAAGTTTTTTGGTGAACGTTTAGTTTATTAAAATTAAAAATAAACTTATTTTCCGAATTCATGCTGCAAATAAGGCCATATTTCGATTCCCAATGAATCATCATCAGTGCGGTTGATGTTTATATAGGGAAATATTGACTTTGTCAAAATGAACTTAGATGGAAATTAGGTGTCAGGTTTCTTTACTGGCTGGTCATCTACTTTGGTCTCCTTTTCTTCATCGATAGCATCATATTCTTCTTTGTCACTATTTACAATGCTAGTTTTTATTACTTCTTTGTTTTCATTGTTGGTTAAGCGCCGTTTGGGAATTAGGTTGTCATTTTTTGTTGTATATTTATTTTTGGTTTATTGATGTCAATTAGGAATGTAAGAAGTGTGTTCATGGTGTGATTAATAGGACGGACTCAAGGACGGGGTTGAGTGGTGGCATTGAAAGAGTGGAAAGCTTTGTTTATTTAGGGGTTAAGCTGAACGTGGATGGAGGATGTTTGAACGCTGTTCGACTAGAGTTCGTGTGGGATGGATGAAATTTAGGGAACTTGGTGGGGTATTGTGTAGAAAGATATGGTCAGTGAAAATGAAAGGAAGGGTATATAAAGCTTGTGTGAGAGCAGCGATGGTATATGGTGGTGAAACTTGGGTGTTGAGGAGAGAGGAGGAAAGTGTACTGCAGAGGGCTGAAAGAGCTATGGTGAGGATGATGTGTGGGGATAAAGTGAAGGATAGAAGGAGTAGTACAGAGCTGATGTCGAGGATGGGACTGAATGAGGACATTGTGACATTGATAAGGAGATCGAGATTGCGGTGGTATGGACATGTGTTGAGAAGGGATGAAAGGGTCGGGATTAGGCGAGTGTTGGAGTTCGAGGTTGAAGGAGTGATAGGAAGAGGTCGTCCGCGACTGGGATGGAGAGAGCAGGTGGAGAAGGACAAAGTGAAAGCGGGGTTGCGTGATACTGAGGCGAGTGACAGATGTGAATGGCGTCGAGGGGTATTTCGGTTTCATCATAGGTAGCCAAACGGCAACCCCCGATCTCGGGGAAAACGTCGTCTAAACGTGTGTTGTTGTTGTTGTTGATGT